CCCCTTGGTGAAAGGAGTTACAGCGCCATATGTGGTCAGAAAAGTCATTCTTTAAAAATTTCTTCGGTCGTTCCATGCTAGGTGAAATTTCTGATAATAACTCAATTTGCCTCCACGAGATATCGCTCAAAATTGGCTGACACTCTTGTTTCATCGTCATGAAGCTGCCATCACATTTTCAGAATGGTTTTCTATGTGTGAAAGGCAAGGGGGAAAGCAGTAATCTAGTACTGCATTCAATGCCGATTCAATGCCAATTTAATGCCATTCAATTCAAAACAATGCTATTCACTGCAATCCACTGCTGTCATCGATTGATGTACTAGATTACTGTTTTGACAGGAGTGGATTGCAGTGAATAGCATTAATTTGAATTTAGTGGCATTGAATCAGCATTGAATGCAGTACTAGATTACTGCTTCCCCCCTTGAGACAACCACACTTTTTTGTTTCCATATCTAACGCATATTATGAAAGATGTGAGGAAACGCAAAAATTTACTTAATAATAAAATCATATTGATGTGTTTTTTTTCTTCATTGCTATTTTGATATTTCGATAAAAATAATACACACAAATTTGTGTAATACAATCAGAAAGCTTTGCGGATATTACATTGAAACATGCACAAGACATCGAATATTCTGATGTTCGGCGGCAAATGTTAGCAGTTATTTAGCAGTTAGATATATGATCTTAAACTTGCGATATTACACGTTTTTTTGCTTGAATTCAGCAATGCTCATAGTATGACGATTGTTTTCTTATTTTTATTGCTGTTTCTGTTGTTGTTGTTTTTCAGTGCTTTGATTAAAGCCAAAGTTATTTGACATGTGCGCGTGTGATAGCTTCAAAAACGATACCAAATCATTGACTTGATTTGTCACTTCCTATCGGACTGATGCTTTTGTTAACTATGTGTTTCTAACGTGAAACTCAGTGCCACTTGCTACTAAGCTTCATAGACTGCGAGCAAAAGTTACCGAGTCGTGTGTGTGTGTGTGTGTTTTATATACCTTATCGAAATCAATAAACACGAATTGCAAGCAACAAACAACAACGATAACCACAGCAATAGCAAGCGGCAAATGCGGGTGGCAAAGCCTTATAATGCTAGCAAACATGGCAACATTTATATTTAGGTTGTAGGCAATCCGGACAATGAATGCTGTGCGATTTTCCATGATTGTTGTGTGATCTGCGAAGAGCTAATGTGTCTCGTTTCCATTGGTGAAAACAAAAGTGAAACTCTCATCTGCCCGATTATTGTTATGGAAAATACTTTGTGTTGCCGAACTCTTTGTTTGTATTTCGTCATATGTTCTGGAAACGGTATGTGAAGGGAGTATGTGCGCATTTATGGTATAAATTGCCTGGCGATAAAATTGGTATCAGTTGTTGTTGTTGTTGTTGGCGATGGTGTTGGTGATGTTGTTGTTAGCAAATGCCAATGGCGTATTATTATCAGATAGTTCGATTAAAAACACTCTCATTCATCTTGATTCTATGTCAATGTCAATGTCAATGTCACTTTATATTTAGTGCATTCTACTGTTTTTTCCATTTTTTCCGTTTTGGCCATTATTTTTTCTTCTTCTTTAATGCCGTTTCCATTCGCGATTTTCTCTATCATCATCGTTCGATACTGTTGCTGCTGTTGTTGTTACCATTTGAGACCATTAGCATTCTTTACTATTTTTATTGATCCATCAAAATTGTAAACGTTCGCCCACAAAAGAATAGAGAAAATTGGTTCTCACACCCGCTAACCTATGGATCACTTACTCCCAGCAACAAGATTCAAAGAAATTCATTCAACTTTCAAAATTGAAATGCATTCGTATGTAATAATTTTAATGGTTCAGCATTTTGAGCGATTTTTCTTTGAGCGTCACGTTACATTTCATTATAATATATTCAAACGAATTGTTTGAAGACAATCAAACTGAAGTTCAAGTTTCTTTTCCATCCACATTGGGAAGCGGTTCCCTCTCGCCACCATGCAATCCTGTATGCTTTTAACCATGCTCTTGATAAACGATACATATTCAAATAATGACTGCCAACATTAACCGACAGTTTGACGCATAGCAATTTGTTTGCTATAAAATTCCATAGAGACAAATCAGTTATAGCAATAAAAACTAAAAACGAAATAAAAACAAAATACATTTCACTGACGAAAAGTCGACTATTCGGTGTGCTCGTTTCAACTCATATCTAATGCAAATAAGTATTGTGGATAACAGAAGTTCGTTTCCAAATACCATTTTTCTTTCTTTCAAGCATCTTCAAACGAATGGAAACGAACGCCAACTCGATAAGTAATCGCATGACGTCAGTTCTCAAATTTAGTTTCAACATTCGAAACCGACAATTGTGCGAAACCAACAAAGAATTGCAAGTTTTCAGTTTAACAATCGAATTGAATTGCCTAGAACACGAAAATGCCCATAAATAAACAAATAAACGGGTCATGACCGAAAAACTTACCGAAAAACTCGAATAAATAATGCGAGAGAGTGACGCGAGGCAACAAAGCGTTTTAAGTGGGTTTGTTATACCCTTTTTTCCCTTTCGATTACGAATGGACATTTCGAAATCGCACTACAAACGGCTCACAACTATTTACATTACAAAATCCACAACTAATGAGCATATAAATTAGAGCCTATAACACCACCCATTCACGTTCCACTAATGTGTGGAATGGGAGTTTATTTATGGAAAAGAAAAAGGATTAAACCAAAACCTACTCAAAAAATGCAAGAATCTTTTTTACGAATCGTTTAAACGTAGATGGCCGACAGCTTTGACATTGATTTTGATATAAAACGGTAGATCGGCCGTATTTAAGATGATATTTTCTATTGACATATTCCAGATTGACAACAATTTAAAAAATCAATCTTTGGATGCAATTGTCGGTCGGCCGCGTCTTCTTCGCACAGCTTGACAGTTGAATTCAAATCATCTGGATATTTAAATGGATTTTCCCCCATTGCGAGTTCTATGACTTGCTTACACATGCTGTTTTTGAAAAATTCAACGCACATCAAATGATGACATGAAAAATATTCATTGAAAACCCAAAATACACGCATCCATCAAATAAAATCCACCGCTTCGCAACTAGTGTTGTGTGTGTACAACATAATGTTTGCTGTTTGGCTGGACTAACTAAATTTCGGTATAAATGTTTCGAATGTTTTTTTTTCACTTCTCATGTTCATTCACAATGTGGAATTAGATTTATAGAATTATTATACATTTTTATCAATTATTTTACACTCTTTCCAATGATGATGAACACAATCATCGTTAGCATATCAAATCTATTCCTGATCTCTTTACTGTGAGGTATTACATATATTGGATGGCTTGATGAAACATATTTTTCTCCGAATCTCTATATACATTTTTGGGGATGTTTTCGTATTTCCTTGAGAGGATTTTGTGTTTTTAGGTGGGTTTCTGGTTCAACCAAAATGAAAAGACACTTGTGTATGGTAATCAGTGAAATGACTCAAATGGCCCACATAAAAGAGGATTTCAATGAAAAATAAATAAATAGATATTTCTTATTTCCATGTGAATGGCGAACGATACTAATTATGGAGCAAAGGTTATACTAATAAGGCTATACTCTCAGGAAATAAAGTTTTTCCCAACAATTAATTGAAAAACTAGTGAACAAGATACACAACTTAAAATCAATTATTTTGTCAAATATTCATGGCCGGTGATACTTCTGCATTGTGGGCTGTTGTTTTTCGTTTCAGCTAAAAATCGTTTCCACATGGGTATCCCAATAAATTCGCATCTCTTTCTCTGTCGACAGAAACAGTTTCGAATTCTGGGATGGCTTTCACATATATAATTCAAGTGGTCCAGTTTAAAATTCTTGCTGTCTCTGTGCTGCTGGGCCTGTGTACAAGGTAAACATTAAAAATAATCTGTGACCATTCATTCGAAACTGCTGCGGTGGAAGACACAACAGGTATGCGTTTGTCCTTTTTGAATTGGTGTATAAAAAACATATTAATTTCAAGACAATTTCAAGCAGAAAAATTTTGTGGTGTGGACTGATTTTCCATTTATATAGAACTTAAGGCTTCCTTTGATCTTAGCAACAAAGTTGCCGTTGAAAGAAAAGTGAAACCTTTTGAATCATTCATAAAGGCATTCAATAGTGCCAGAAAACTTTATGAAAACTTTTCAGATGTAATGTAATCGATTCATTTCGATGGTTGAGGTGTACCTGCTCTACTTATTATCTTAATTTTCATTTAAATTGATTTTCCAACATGAAATGCTTTATTTATCATAGTAAATATAGTTTAGTTTTCACGGCGTTCGTTTGTCCCTTTAAGCTTAGTATACCTCGATGAAAAAATTCTCGCAAATTTTTTCTGCCATATAAACACCAGGCATCATTTGATAGAACTGATAGTTCATTGAAAAAATCCCATCTATGAATGTAAAAAAAAATTCTAATGCCAACTCAAGCTTTTTCAAAGTTCATGTTATCCGTACAAATATTCGTGGATGTTCCATCATAACAAGTTGTCTGCTCCACTGTACGAATGAGCGTGGAAAAGCTTTTCATTGTGTGTAAAGGAGCTGTACCGGTAGATACCACCACCATACAAACAACTTGAGCTTTTTGTATGAGCTTTTTATAGAAAATATTTCAAATAAGTTTTGGACTTTTATTCAACTTTTTTTCCGGACACCTATTTTCTCAGTTACTAAGCATCACAATTCCTGTAAGCTTTAACCGTCGGTAAGCTTAGAATTTGTCCAAAGTATCACGTTTTGTATTATTGGATTATTGGATATATGCGGAGGTCAGAGACTCGTCGCTCAGGCTGTAATCAGTCTATTGCAAGGCGCCCGTTGTGAATGCTATTTTTGTGCCCGTACTTTCTATGTACGGCCTAAGTATCACCTAAAAAGCATTGCAACTTTTTGAAAACTGTGGCAAAAACATCGGAATATGATTTGAATTCAGTTGGTGAGCCCATCAAGAATAGAGAGCTTAAAAACCATTTATTCACAATTATTACACATGAAATACAAAGTTATTTACTAATAAGTTAAAATTGGTAAAATTGTACAAGTGATTGGTTTTCCTTTCGTGGCAAATGATTTATTTGAAAAAAATTTTAGTTTCCATTTGAAATGGCCATTTTGAAAATGAATTTCTCAAATGGTTCTATGCAATAGACAATTGATTCGATGAAATGAAAATAGATTGGAGAAAATAGCCCGAAAACCATTGTATTATAATACAATTTATAGTTAATAATTATTAACTTTAGCGATAATTTTATTCTTATTCTCTTACATATAATAAATTCATGACATTTCACACTTTGTTTTATTTGTTGATTTCCACTTTGATCCAATGATGCTGTTAAATGTTTCGGAACTGTTGGCTTTTAATTAAATTCAATTGAATCCCTCTTGATTTCGTTTTTATAATGAGCGGTGATTTGTGCGGAGTTTTCTCTTTGATGTTGGAATTTGGGTGGTGAACGTAACAAACAACTAAACGATGTGTCATGAAAATAATTGGATAAAAATTATTCTACGAATGGAATCTCTATCAAAACTAAATTTCATCATGAAAAATTTGAACAGCATGAAAATTGCTGGCTATAATCAAAAGGTCTTACAAATTTAAATTAATGCCAAAAGTTCCGGACAGGATTTAACATCAATTTAAAACATTTTCATTGATGTGATGAGTATAACAACACCACTGTACAATTTTTAGTTTAGTGAAGATGTTAGAAGCGCATATATACAAATACATTTGTATATTATTAACACAAGTCCAAGTGAAACGTACATGCGCAAATTATTTTCAAAATGTACATCGTATTCAAATGAACTATGTAAATGATGGATGAAAAATGAAGAGTGTCCCATTTTAAATGACATATGCCCTCTCAAGCGAGATCAAATGAACATATTGTTGTTGATTCACTTCGTATAAATTTTTTTTCTCGCGTATTTCCATTTAATGAGAATGTTCATTTAAATTTCACATTGAAAAACTAAAATGTTCCACTCTCATCGTCACTGAGAGACTTAAAAATATATGAACTATTTACACTTAGAGAAACTTAGAGGAAACTGGTTTTTATGTGTTTAATTTTAATTTCTTTTCCTGCTTATACGCGTGTGTATATTCACAATTCAGAGTTTGGTTTTATTCTTTCAAATGTTGGCGAGAAAAGAGGAATTGCAAATGTGTGGATGCATAATTGAGAGATTCCAATGTACAGAATAAGGAAAATATCGGTTTTATGAGGAAAATGGAATTGACTCCATCAATTACCATGAAGACTCAATCATGAACTGAGTACATTTTCATGCAAATCGACGTGCACTCTGAATAGAACAATTACAAAAGCATGGCTTCATTTCATTTCAATGCATTTGATTGAGTTATCGGAGGTTGGACAACATCACATTTACATCTTTTAAACCATTTCATTTGGCCTGATGTCTATCACACGAAATTTAAATTGATGAGTTGTTGTTATGTATCGTTATTAAATCTGAAATTGAACCAATTTCAAATAACTAGCAATCGATCCATCTGATGGTGTTGAAGAGCAGAGAGAATTGGTCTTCCAAAGATGAAGAAAGCAAAACACAAAACTCCAATGATTTCTAACACATTTCCAAAATCACGTACAGAATTGAATACGGAGAGCGGCCTGTGTTGATGTAATGTAATCGTGTTTCAAGCTGGTTGGGCGATTGGATCGGGTCTGATAATAAATAATTACTTTGTAATCCAATGAGGCTACCTTGTGCCTCTATCTCAAGATATTTTAACTGTGCCGAATGAATTTTCTTGGATAAAATTGGCTTCTAACGGTGTGTCGTACGAGGTAAGTTTGATTGGGTCTCCTAAGGGAGGATGTAACTCGAAATATTCCCTTTGAAAAAGTTGGATTCAAATCTTCCGTTTGCTCTTGAGCAAATATCGTTGTTTGTGCTGTTGAAGGCTCGATGTTTCGATGGACAACATTTTTCCCCCGCTGCATTCCAATCGACTAGGTCATCGGACAATGCATTCATTTATAGAAATTGACAATGTTCTTCTCGAGAAATTGACAAACCAATCACCCAATTTTAAAAAGGAATTTGCGACAATTCTTCTTTTCAATTTTCTCTATCTCCCCTTCCATTTCATTTCATTCTGTATATAGATGGGAAATATTGCTACACATCCTATTGAAACTAGTTAACTCAAAATCTAATTGAATAATATCCGTGTTATAACCGAATATCGTTCAAAATTTGAACGAATTGTTTGTCGTACGAACGAATAGTAGAGCATTGGGGTTGGAAAGAAAAAGAAAAGAAAAGAGAAAACCAAATAATCTTCCAGATTCTTACTTCCGGAGATAGTTTTTTTATTATTGCGATGTCGTTACTTCATACCAAATCTATTGTTGACAGTGTAGGGAAATGTACGGCAACATTATCAGAATTTATTTATGTGAATGCGTTTTGCCTTGCCCTTGTCTGTAACCATTTTTGACCTTTCTCGCAACAAAATATCATTTTGTCTGAATGTGAACACTGATGCTGTATCTTATTTTATTTTAATACAACATCTATTTTGGTTAGCTTCTCAATATATCTTAATATGTATATACAGCATTTTCTATGGACTATTTTTATTATCCATTTTATTCTTTTGTTTCTTTCTATTCTTCTTGTGGGAATAAAGTATGGAGGAGGTAAGTTTTCATCTTATAAATCTGTCTTTATCAAGCCATTGATGAGCAATATAATTTTATGTCTGTACATTTCATTTTTTTTTCTCCATGGAGTTTTTATATTTCCCTGGGTTTTTCTTCGTCCTATTATGGTTTTGATTTATTTTTCATTGTAATGTCAGCATTTGGATCATTTTTCTTTGTCAAAATATCACTTGTTGAGTTTTATTGAAGTTTGAACTATCACTATTCACGTAAGCATTCATTTTGTTTCTTTATTAATATATTTTTGAATGATGAACGAACGTTAATTGAAATATTGATTGATTAATCACTGCGTAAATCCGCTGTGTGATTCCTTAAATGGCTCGAGCAAATGGTATAGCATCGGAGCGCGGAACATTTACTTTGGTAATATAAAAACACTATCTAAGGTGTTCGATTTGGAATGAGTTTAAGTCAATGGTGCGCCTGAAACCCAAGGCGGTCGAATGAGTATTGTTGTATATATTTATTAATTGATTTATAGCATGTTGTTGGTTGCTTGTTATTTGGGTCGCAATACACATACACACGCACGCACACACAAACAATTATCAATCAAATATAAAGCAGAATTTCTTATGGAGGAAATCAAATTATATCAATCAGTTTCGAGTCTATGGATAGAATAACATAGTTACACTCTTTCCTTATCAATTTAAACAAAGTGAATTTATATGGAATCAAATAATGTAATTACCAATCGATAGTGTGACACGTGTATCGTGTCAAGGGTGAAATGCACAATTTGCACGTAATCCAAGTGAATGCACTAGTTCAATCCGTTTGGAATTTGCACTTATCGGTGAATTGTTCTTTATGCGATATCGGATGCAGCCACAAACGTGTATCTGCTCCAATTGATATCGATTATTGGCTTTACACATACGACGAAATAAGTTCAACAATCGTTTGCCGTGGTCTAATCGATTCAATTTCAAAGAAATCAAAAAGGTAATGAATCGAATTTACTCATTTACCACAGTCCATCTGAAGACTATAGCGACGAAGAGATTTATTTTCAAATTCTCATTATATCCAGCTGAAGTCACGATAGCATTCCAACAATTGTCCAGTCCAACAATTTGTCTTATATTTAATAAACGGGGCATGATTTGCTAAACGCACCCGACTGAAACCGATATTTTCACAGTACTTAAGTATAACGTCTAATTTTCGAAGTCAACGAGTCAAACATAATGATTACTAGAAAGCCCCGTCAATTCTTCGAATATTATAATTCAATATTTGCTTTCATGTCTGTGCTTGTGTGTGTGTGTGTGTGTGTGCAGATGTACGGCCTGTGTAGTCACTATGAACATGATTGATTATTTACGTATAATACCGCTCAATTGACTTTGGCCCATGAACATTGAAAGTGGCGCTTTAGTGGCTCAACTCATAATCGAATACAACTTACTGAAATGTAAAGTTTATCAATAATAGTATATATTCTTTGGCTTGGTCACATTTCACGCCATCCAAACGGTTCAATCAACATGATAATGACAATCTAAAACCCATTTATAATTTGTTATCATTTAAATCGACATCATTCCACTTAGCGAACAAAACAAAAAACATCTGAATCGCAAAACAAGTGACTTATAATAAAAAAAATCCTGTCTAAATTACCTCATTTTTTTATCCATCATAAAACTCTTTCTAGACTCAATGCGACACGATGCGAACCTCGTACTCTTACATACTGTCTTCCATTTGACACAATCAATCATTCAAAGTTGTACTCTTTTCTCATTCTAATAAAGCGCTGTTCCTTCATCGACTGGAATATACGCGTCAACATATTATTGGATTCTTTGTCACCTTAGAGTGTTGAGACTTGACTGAGTCGTTAATGTGCGCAACTTTCATTCATATCTTATGATTTTTGTTGTTACGTATTTTTCATTTGTCGGAGGAAATGAAGCAGACGACAACTCAGGATGAATGTGAGCAGTGAGCGGCATACGAATCATCTGGTCATTTTTTGTATAAATTTTATCCATTTCCGAAGGAATTTTTTTTTTACCTCGCCGTATATTCCATTCGACGAAGTAACTATGCTAAATTTAGGCCAACCTCTCGTTGTTTCAAAAATTTATTTATCTAGATAACATTATTATTCGTCTTTTCATCTTCTCTTGTGAAAATAATTGGTATCCAATCTAATTCAGTTGATTTGTTTCTCTTGTCTTCTTCATCATATTGTGAAATATATAGAAAATGGATGATGGAATTTTACCCGCTGTAGTTTGATTGCTATAGCATGGAGTTCGTTGTATGTGTATGTGCTCTTGTTGTTGTGTGTTATTCCCAAAAATCAGCTTGCGATTTCCTTAGGCGAAATTCAAGCTACTGGCACCCACTGGACTGTCGAAGCATTCCACAAACATACTTTCAGTCTTGAGTTTATTGTCTCTCACATACAGCACTTGTTGCAAAGTTTTCGTCGAATGATTATTGATTTCGCTCAGCCGAATTGAATTATTATAGCGCTGGCGAACTGAAAGTGAAAACCAAGCAAATAAATAATGATAATCCTATGTCTATATACAAAGAGCGAAGTGAGTTTTGGCTGTTTTAGCCATAATTAGTGCAATTTGTATGGTTATCAAGTGATGAAATCTGTATTGAATAATGGAAAATGAATTTCAAAGGCTCAGTATAAATAGTGTCGGTTTAATGAGTGTTATACCACATCATCAAATAATATCAGCTTTTGACTCGAATTGACGATGAATGAATGACGTTCGATTAACAAGCACGTGATTTGAACCCGTGAGCATAAAAACAACGTATTGACTCTTCGCCGATGAATACGAAACGTAAAAAAATCGCCGAACAAAGTGAAACACCAATCTGTTATTGGATCAATATGAAACATGAAATCGTTGGCCACTATTTTATTTACGTTGCGCTTTGTTTCGAAGCGCGGCAAGTGTTTCATTTTGTTCCAGTAACAGAACGTTGTATCACTTTGTTCGGCGACGCGCTCAATGTACTGTTTTGAAAAAATATGCATGATTTGATACAGTTTTGTGCGAGTGCAACATAAATTCTGTTCGCTTGAAAGTGAATCGTGAAATATCGGCTGACTATAGAAATTGTGTTTCACTTTAATTGAAACAAAAATGTTTGATACACTTTTGAGTCCATTGGTATGATGATTCATTTTAATGGTGGTTTTGGTCGTGATTTGTCTATGAAGTGAAAATTAACTGATAAGGAGCGCGAATTTCGATGTGCCGATAACACCAATAGAGCAGAAAAAAATACATGGGAAGTTTGTATGAAATCCTCGGAACGCGGGTTCACGCCGCTGTGAATACATTGGTTTATATAGTGAAATCTATACATGGCCAAAACACGGACGCACAACACCCATTCTATTTCGCTCACACTTACGTGCAATTTTTACCCGTATAACAAAGTAGTCTGCTTTACTGTTAAAAAGATGTGCGCAGTAAAGAAACAAGAACGTACATGTTTCAGCAACGTTAAAGTGCACGTAAGTGTGAGCGAAATAGAATGGGTGTTGTGTTAAAATGAATAGTTTAATATACCAATGGACTCAAAACTGTATCAAATCATGCATATTTTTCCAGAACAGTACATTGAGCGCGTCGCCGAACAAAGTGATACAACGTTCTGTTACTGGAACAAAATGAAACACTTGCCGCGCTTCGAAACAAAGCGCAACCCGAATAAAATAGTAGCCAACGATTTCATGCTTCATATTGATCCAATAACAGATTGGTGTTTCACTTTGTTCGGCGATTTTTTTGCGTTTCGTATTCATCGGCGAAGAGTCAATACGTTGTTTTTATGCTCACGGGTTCATTTTTGTTTCGTAATAGTATAGTCTGTCAACTTTTGATGGAAAATAATATTTTCTCTATTAATGCGAAGCATATTTTGACATTATTATGCTATTGTGTCATGCATTGAGCGTAGGTTTGAATGCCAAATGTCTCTAAGATCAATGCATCACAAAGTACAAAGTTGCCCATTAAAAACGCAACTTTATCACACTTTATACGATTGATGAATCGCATTTTTGTTGTTGGCAGGTGACATTTAAAATATTCACCACCAGTCACACCTACGGCAATTCCTTTTGTGTGCGGAGTGGATTAACTCCGAATATTCAAAGAATAGACTTCGAACTTTTTCATGCTCTATTTACTCTCATTTTTGCTAAGATGGAATTTTTGCGGAATTGGTCTGGATAACAATGTAAGAAATTCGTGATCCGCTGTGATCACATTTCATGAAATTCTCTGATGCTGTGTGCATACGACGGTAGCGTGTTTTGCATGTGTTTCCAACCAAAAATTTTATAACAACAGTTAGAGAAAGGGAAAAAGAAAGAAATAATGAGAGAGAGCGAGAGAGAGAGAGAGTGAGAGAGCGCACAAGCTCTACGATATATTTCCATGGCGTTTCACAAATGGAATCAATACCAATTATCGGCAGAGAATATATTTATATTTGCATCAATTAATAAATGATCAATCTAGATTGTGCGTATGTTTTGTTTTCCAAATGCCGTACACGGCGGCCACAAGAAACTTTCCTAATGACTTATTGTGTGTATTCATTAAGGAAATTTCATTCATTCGACCGCAAAAGGATCCGAAATAATTCCCATTCAATTTTCATTAATGTTAACCAAAGCATAAAGCACAAATACACATTTCTAACAAGATTGTCTGCTTATGCTTGGTAATGCCGCAATTGTGTATGTGCATGCGTATTTTCTTTTTCATTCCATTGAAATATTTTCGCTGCCTGCAGATTGGACGAACCGATTTGGTTTTTTTTTAATTGAGTACATATTGCTCTCATTTAAATTTCATAAAATGTTCAAATTAGTCGAACAAATATCCTAGAGAAGTCACGATGCGAACTGAATGTAAAAGCAGCTTCGGATTGTTTTAGCCTTTATTTCGATGCGATGCTTTTTGTTTCCATGGTAGCAGCAAATTAAAGCGAAAATAATAAGCCCCATTCAATTTGCTGTAATGTTTTGAATATGCGATTAAACTGGAAGATTTTTGGTTGACTACTCAACTCGATGCAGTCGGACCAGATTTTCCAAATAGAAGATAATTTAAGGGTCTTCTGATAAAATTGATTGTTTCACAAAGCCGAGTAAACTGTCTTTTGACTTTGAGAAACATGGTTTTTATCTTGTTTTCCAACAAACGCCACAGCGACATAACACGCAATGCATTCTGTTTTCTATATTCAATGTTTAATAACATAAAAATATGTATCTCCTTTTGCATGCACACGCAGCAGATCCACCGAGATCCACAGACCTATTTTTAATTGAAATATTAAATCTCCTTGAAACACCAATGAAAGCCATGCTTTCAAGACATATCATACCACGCATGTTTGCGTTTCGATTTCATTCGTAGTCATAAGTCTATTGGTAAACGTGCACCGAATGTTGTCTTATGATGTTTTTGAAATATAGGCAAAATAAACAATGATTTTGCTCTGGTTCTGCTTGAAATTTATGAATGGCTCGCATTTCGCAGAGAGAAAAGGGTCGTGCTAATTTGAGTTATTACTTGATAATGTCATTTCAAAGATCATTAGTGGTTGTGTGTGTGTGTGTGTGTGTGTGTATGTATGTGTGTGTGAGTTTGTGTATTTTTTTTCTTCGCATGCTTGACTCCCTCATGAGCATGTTTTCAATTACTGTGACTAGGCCACTTAGCTACTTACATGATTTGGAACGACGTTCAATGGACATTGAGTTTGGCATGTAAACTGTTTCACTTTTGAGCAATTCATTCTGTTGCCACAAATGGAAGCAACAAAAGCACATGATTTTTTGAAAATAATGCCGAAACCGTCGATTCATCCAATAGTAAATAATCGGATTAACCATTGAGTTCGCCATAGCCAACCAGTAAAACGCCAGAAACAGATGCGGAACATAATTAGATGATGTAATGTGCGGCCGATGATAGGAGTACACGTAGAATAAGTGATATGGTAGCCAGCAGATGCCAAAGATGGTGACAACAGCAATAAACATTCGTACGACCTGCAGAACAAACAGAGAAACAAACAAACAAACAGAAAAAAATGAATAAACGAACGAAAACAAAAACGGTAAATGACTATCAGTTTGTACTTTCTCTCTCATGTTCTGCATGATTCGATCAACTCTGCTAGGAACTAGAGAGAGATATGTCGTAACCAAGTGGAAAATAAATTGATTTCAATGTTGGGTGTAGAATGATTTGTATGAAACGTGCCAAACTAAGATACAAGCGTGCAATACAAACCTTCTTTTTCGATTTTATTGATTCGATTTGGCGCTGAGTATGCTCCCCGATCGACTGACTGCCCCACAAAACACGTCCCATTATTGTGTAACTCACAATCATTATCAACATTGGTACTCCATATGTCAGCACAAGAAAAACACAATTGTATCTGTAACAAAGGATTTCCATGTGTGAGCGTTTAAAAATACGGAATCAAAAGAACAATAAAGAAATATATAAATACAGGCTAGGGGGAGACACGAAATTTAAATGAGTAAAATTAGAACATTAATCAACGATAAAATAGGAGAAATAGAAAAAATTAGTGAGTTTGGTTTGCCAATGTTAACGCTTATGGACGTATTGTTTATTGTTTACAAAATAGTCTCGTTACGTCTTCCATAAGCGTTGTATTGACAGTGTAATACGCTCTGCAAGCGATTTTACTAGAAATAATAGCACAATATTAGAAAATCAATTTATTTGCTCGAATGAAAGTTTAATATTCTTGATCAGTGCTATTGCTATCTAAAAATGAAAAAAAAACTCGCATGGTAGCCAACCACATTTTGTCGCCAACAATAACCACAGCAACATCAAATATTTGACAGGTTCCACTTTATAAGACATACACACATTGATCACAAGTGCTATACCGTCCAAAATCAATGGCAAATGTTACACACTACGAACTTTAGCTGTTTACATAACACACAATATATCACCAACACCGATAGAGTGATTGATATTGCTTTGATATGACACATGACGAAAGTGTCTGGCCTCTTCTGAGACTGAGCTTTTTTTTCAACGTTTATAGCACATTTAATTTTGGCGTTTTCATTTTGTAGGTCTGACTGGAAATTCTGACTTTCACGCAAGGAAAAAAAATGCCGATCTAATGAAATCACTTTGGAATTAATTAAATTGAACAGTTCCAATAAATGTTGATCAAAATTTGGACGACGTCGAACGTTGATTGGGTTTTATTACGAGATAGACTTTATCAAAGGTCAAAACAAAAACAGACACATTTCAGACAGCTCAAAGATTCGTTCGAACGTTTCAACACAATCGTCTCATTTTTAGTGAAATTTATCGTAATATACAATGATAAGAAAGAAAAGAAATAAAACGAAAACCGTATTGTATTATAATGGTAACAAGCGAGGATACCAATCGACTGTGATATTCAGTCTGCATACAGCATGTTCATGAATCAAAACACCGATTTTAGGGTCTAGAATTTACGTTATCGCATTTGTACGTCGTTGATATGCGCTTTTTGACTATTCCATTATGGATTTCTATTGAAACTGTACACGCTATCAAAATAAATGAATATTGATTGATGCATTGTTTTCTTCGTCGTCGTCGTCGTCATCGCCGTCGTGGTTGTCAGCACATGCTACGCACACATGTACTTAAACGTATGGCTCTTCCTCTCTATCTCCCGATCTGGCTTTGAACAAATAATACTGACTTTTGTACTGTATTTGTTCCGTTGATGCCGTGCCATTTGTTTTTCCATTAATTTTCTGAATAAATTTATACACCCAAACAAAATATGATTTGTTTTTTCATCTTTGGAACACGCAATTGGAGTATTGTATACATATAATAACGTAATTCGTCCATTATTAATTCGGTGGATGAATTCATTTCGACGAAATATTTTTTCTCAAGCCAATTTCTCACAATTTTACTCCCTATCAAAGCATCACCACGGTCAAAGGGCAAACTAACTAAACGCTTTAAAATTGTTAAAGTATAGTAGTTGTATTGCAACATATGTCGATACGTAATTTGTGAGAAGAAAAGTTTGTGTGTTTTTCTCAAAATTTCTATTTTTTGTATACGATTTCTGGAAAAAGATTCAAAGAGAGTTTGTATTCTCCAAAGTGAATACCGTCACTACATGAATTGGTATGTTGGCCTGTTTGCTGCGTCGCTCGCTTGTCGCCATAAAATACAATTGAATACAATTGAATTAAAAAAAAGACATTGACTTAATTTCTCTGTCCTTGAGACTTTTAAAGATGAGCTTAGGTAAATTGGCTGGAACGGAATTTTGATTTTAGCTCGCTCAATCGTAAAATTCTTTGGTTATTTTCATGCAAGTCAATATGTAGTTTAATTGAATGACAAAATGCGTATCGAGCTATCTAAGTACTACCTTTCTCTACCTTCTTCTACTTTTTTATTCATATTTTTGTTTCGTTCTATTTCATTAATGAATTGGAACCGTTCAGAAGCATAGTTGCCGTGAAACCCAAATATGCGATGTGCTAAATCCAACATCATTATATTTTATATAAGATGTGTACGTAACTTTTGCGACCTCTTAAATTCTCTCTTGTAAGACATACCAGCCAGTCATTGAGTCACTTGGTTGGTTTTCACGAGGGCAATCTCTCATTGAAAAAATCTTTAAAATCTTCCAAAATCTTTGAAATCGACGTATTTTTGTCAATATTCAAAATATCAAGAAATATCTATAGATATTTAGTGTTAAAAATTTGAAGTTCGGGCGTGCTCACCAGGCGCCATCTTGAATTTCAAAAATTCAGTCGCCATCTGGAATTTTGATATTGAACATATCTTTAAAAATCTGCAACAATTCACAATTATCTTCAAAATTCATACATCTAAATATCAACATCGTTACATTTTTTAAATGAGAAATTCCCCTAGGGAATTTGTTTCAAATTGTATGAAATTGTGCGACTCGCAAAAGTCGTTCAAAACTCGCATATAACAAACAATTTTTCCTGAACCATATATACTACAAGCTGGTTTGGGCAATTAAAAAACTTCTTATCTTCTTAAAGTGCCGTAAATTAAGAGAGTTGATAAAAAGTCGTGCACACAAAAAAAGTACAAAGTAAGTGAAGAGAGAAAGAAAAAGGGAAAAAGAGAGAGAGAGAGAGAGAGAGAAGCGAGTGAGCGATAGAAGTGAAGAAACAAAAAAAAATGGAAGAAATAAAGACTGGCGAATGTATAATATATGAAACGAGTATGAGTAGAATGGGAATTGAATAACACATACACATAGTCTGTCAGTGATGTCGGATACCTTCCGTCGGGCCATGATATGAAGCACACAACTCTCTGCTTGCCACTTTGATATCTAATAAGAATAAGAGCGAAATTTATTAAAATTAGAAATGTGCACGTTTAATTTAAGTCGTTTTTGTTTGTAAGTTCTGTGTTCGTCATTGCGTTTCCTCCTTTTGCCTTTTCCGCCCACGCACACACGCACTCTAGTACATTAAACCGCCCGCGTTCTACTCTGAAGCTCTTTTTGTGTTCATTGTTATTGGTTTTCGGTATTTTTAGCACTACATGGAATATAGGCTATTGCATTTGTTTTTTTTTCTCGAGAAAATTTTAAGACTCTTTAGGCCATTTTTTGGACCGAAAATTAATTCTTTTTTCTATCCATAGTTCTAATTTGAAATAAAGCAATTACGCCTAATTACAAAAATATAATAATGTCATGTTCATGTAATTCATGTTTGAGATAACTAAAAAAAAAATTCATATTATTTTAATTCTCAATGTGAAATAATGTACAATTATCGTACCCAAAACCCATTATTAAGAAATTATAATATAATAAATAAAACCATAATTTATTTAATTAAAATATATTTATAATTATTTATATATCTATATGATTAATAACTAAATTTTTCAATGTTTCTCTTATATATTTAATTTTATCAATGTACGGCAATTTCGTGAAAGATTTGTCCAATGAACTTTTTGATGTTTCTCCTTTAACAATCATTATTAAATTGAATAATGCAATTACCCCACAAGCAATGTCATCTTCTTGAGAAACAAAAGAATCTTTGAAACGTATTTAATTTTTGGGATCGTTTAAAAATGGATATAGTCTTTTAATTACCTCCAGTTGTTCTTTTGACACCATTTTTCTATTGAAACTATCATATATATATATATATATCATAAAATCAACAGGGTTATAGTATAAACCTATCCAATGAACTGAGCTTCTATCTTCTTCTTGACCTCTTCAATTTTATAATCTCCAGAAAAAAATACAGTCCGGGTCGCACATTATTGATTTTGATTAAAACAATTTTCATAAAATACAGAAATGTATACTTCGATTGAAACTACATTCCATGTAGTGCTTGAATGAATAATTTGATGGAAAAATTAAATTAACGTAAAAAAAACCATTTTAAATAACGCAAAAAGAACGGTCTTGGTTTTATATTGCCAATGCATTAGTTATGGGGATTTTTGTTTTGTTTATTTTCTGTTGTTTGTAAACAAATCTGCCTATCTTTTTGCATTGTCTCTGTGTATCTCTTATGGACATATACTATGTACAGTGCAATGCAAAAAGATTTGTTTACAAACAACAAAAAATAAACAAAACAAAAATCCCCCTAACTAATGCATTGGCAATATAAAACTAAATGGCGAACATTTTACATTTCTTATCGACTGTATACTATGTAAAGAGGCGATGCGTGAATATAGGCAGACTTGTTTTCTCTTTCATTTGTTTGCGCTGTTTGCACTTCACAAAATTACTCATGTGGTACTTGTACGGAACTTGGCAGGCAAACATTAACCGAGCCATTTTCCCAAGTTGCTTATTGATTTATAGTTTCGTCTTTCGGATCGAAAAAAAGGATAAATATCATGCTTGTTTGGGCAGTTGTTAGCTAACGATTTAAAAAAAAACATTTTCTTTTCGGATAATTATTTGTGTTGCCATACAGAAGATATTTTCCCATTGTTTTTCTCTATTTTTGATCTGGTGTGTAAGATGCCATGAAGTGTTTGACACAGCAAAGTGTGTTTCCATGGAAAAAAAATTCCACGAATTTAGTTGTACACAAAAAAAAATAAATAAAAAAAATGTCACAATTGGATTTCGAATCATTTTATATCTTGATGCGTCCTCTCGAATTCCTCGTAATTATGTTGTGCGCGTGTGTTTGAGCACATGAATTCGGATCGAATTTCACGCTGGCTGCACATGTATTTTATTGCGTTGCACTTTCTCTTCACTGTCAATTGAAAGTTGTACAAAGTAAATTTTAATTCGCACAAATTTAGTACACTCACACTTTGGCCTCGGTTGTTGAATAGAATAAGCATGGCAATGACAGCATACTGCTAAGGACCCATATAATAATAACAAACATTCGCGCTTTCTTTCTTGAATTTCTACGATGTAGTGGCCGCACAATCGCAACATATCTGAAAAAAGAAAGAAACAAACAAACAAACAAATACTCACACATAGAAGATGCATAAAAGAAATAGAATTAAAGGGTAGCCAACAACTGGCACACTAACTTGCATCGAAAAAAAAAATACAATGAAATAATCCAACTAAAATTGAGTACTTAAAGAATTGAACATGAGATTTCTCAGCTTAAAACTATATTTATCACATGATTATACTGCGCACAACAAATGAAAAATCATTGCTTAGTGTTGGCGTGTGTATACAGAAGGAACAACGACGCAATTTACTATTGGGTTTTGTGTTCAATGTGCGGTGATAGGATTCAAAACCGAGTTTTTTTTTTGCAACCAAAATTTCGCATTTTAGTCACTTCTTCGCTAGCATCTGTTTATACTATGTCGCACTTTCCCATAAAAGTCAATTTTCTGTTATCTGTTCTGAAAATTCTGCTTCCTGTTTAACATCAACATTGAGAACAAAAACCAGTTTTGCGAAAACCTATTGCGTTAACAGATTGATCAGCGATAAGCGCTCCAGAGAAGATGTGAAGCAATTAAGCAATCCGTAATCAACAAAGTTTCTTCGGATTATTATTATTGAAAGTTATTTGATCTTTTCTTCTTCTTTTCGTTATTTCATTAAGTAATTGATTGAAGGAAATTTCAGCGCTTGTTTTCTAGAAAACTTGAGTACTTTGTTTACACAATGTATTCACTCAACATCGACAAAAGTTACAGTTCAAACAATTAAATTTAAAATTGAATCTTCCCCGAAAGTGCTTGCACGGAAAACATTTTCAATTTTGATGGAATGCTCCAAAATTTAAGGTAAATCAAGCAAAACGAAAAATTAACTTTTTAACGGAAATGCACTTCTTCTATTATGGATATGCCAAGGTCGCTTTCTTCGTATACAAATACATGGGAAAAGTTTGACATAAAATGCCGAGACGCCTCTACGCGTGGAATGAAATATATGTACGATGAATGTTTTGAGTGTCCCTCGCCCAGAGGGCTGCGTGTCGTTTTTCTTCGTTTATTAAGCGATCTTGGATATGCAAATGAAAAAAAAAATTTAAATATCTAAAACTTAAAATTCATACGAAACCATTGAGATTGAGCTTGAACGGATGAAAAACATATGGATGCAGCTGAATTTTTTTTTAATTACCTGTCAAATGAAATCGCAACCAAGGTGAAAACTGAAGTTGCTACTGTAACATTCCCCAGAAAGTTGTTCAACGAACAATAGAATCGACCGAAGGGCCAATCGGAATTCAGCATGTAGATAAAATTGAACATGCAATTCAACGAGGACATCATCAAGTCGGCAACACTTAGATTCAATAGAAAATAATTTGTAATGGTTCTCATTTCACGATGCGCTGAAAAAAGAAATAGAAGAAAAACAGCAAACACACACATTAATTGAATCACCACTCAGCGCAAATCCTTTTTTACTCTCTCTCTCTCTCTCTCTCTCTCTCTCTCTCTCTCTCATTCACTCCATATTTTTACGTTTAAATATATATTTCACAGTTTGTCTATGTATGTGTGTATTTTTGCGAAGGTAGACATTTATAGAGGTAATTTTGTTCATATATTACAGTTTCCACCACAATAAATGTGTTGTTTTTGGGCATAACAGCGTTCATCACTCAAATAAACTGTTGTTTTTTTGTTTTGTTTGGTAGTATCGGTTTTTGGTGTTTATCGTTGAATTTTAGGTTTGAATAACTCACAACCGATGTTGGTGGTAAAGACATCTGCTAAAAAAAATTCCATTTATTATCTCATACATGAAATTTATTTGCATTCAATTTAACATCATCACAATGCGTTGCGAGCACCAAGTAGCTTTTTTAACAAGGAAATAAAGCAGTCGGTAATTTTCCGCTGAATAAATTATTATGTGATTATTAAATGAAGAGCAATGCAAAAGGCAGCCGAACAAAAAATTTTCATTTTAGAACGACGGCAAGCGATAGAGCGTACGCATTAAGTCGCAAACAACCTTTTTTTCCTTCGCCATTCATACATGGAGACGATGACGGAGAAGAACATAGAAGTGCTATCTATATATTCAATATGCTAAAAATATGTTGATGCGAAAAGTTGCTACGATGAATTATGACTATCATAAAAAGTCATTCGAGTATACTTTTGAAAATAATAAATGTTCGTTATTTAATAATTGCTTATACCAGGACCAGGGCGACCGAGTGGCCCAGAAACATTTCGACAGGCGTATTGCATAGGCTGAACAGTCTCATAGACATTTTTTAAAATCAGATTTTCAATGAAAACGGAACAACACTACATGGCGATAAATACGGATCGGGAATAAAATTAAATTTTCGGTGAAGTTTTTGTTTGGCGAAAATTCTATTTGCTCGCCTCCGTCGCAACCCAACCTTCAGCGGTGTTTTTGTTGTTGTTGTTTTTGTGTGTCGAAATTGGAGTACCTATCCAGGCACGGTACCTATCCAGGCACGGTACCTATCCAGGTTATGTAGTAACCAAGGGGGAAAGTACTAGATTTGTATAATTCAAATAATGCAATCTAGTACAAAAATAATCCCAAATAATCCTTCGGAATTCTCAATAATGCTCAACAATGCTATACATAATATCAATAAATAACAGCGAACTATGGTCAAATAATTGATGCTTGCGTGCATTTGAATGCCTTGAAAACAAAGTGGGTCGATAGTAGATATGAATTGGTGTGACCTAGAAGAACACAAGTTTGTCAAACGTCGTAGCAATAAAGAGAAGTATATTTTACTGCAACTAACAATGGTTGAAAGAATGTAATGTATGTTCATTTTTGGCGGGTCGTCCCGGTTTTTTACGGTTTCCGCGTAACTGATAAGAGATAACAACTAAATGTCTTCGAAAAAGTTGTAGTACTTGAGATCTTCTATAACATTGCTGAAGACAATTATCTCTTATCTCTTACCAATTGGGCGCAAATCAAAGACATCGGCCTATGGCATGTTTTTTTATCATCCTTCGCGTTTTCTGCGAAACTCATAGGAGATGAGTGAGAACTGTCTGTAGCAAAGTTGCGAGAGGCCTTGAGCACTATAAATTTGCTGAAGACGACAAGTCGTTATCTCTTATCAATTCAGCGAAAAACGCAAAAAATCGCAATTGTACAACAAAATTCGTGTTTTTCGCTGAACTGATAAAATATAGATACTCGGCGTCTTCAGCAAATTTATAGTGCTCGAGGCCTTCCGCAACTTTGATTCAGACAGTTCCTACTCATCTCCTATGATTTTTGCAGAAAACGCGAAGGATGATAACAAAAACATGCCATAGGCCGATGTTTTTGATTTGCGCCCAATTGATAGAAGATAAGAGATAACTGTCTTCAGCAATGTTATAGTGGATCTTGTGTACTACAACTTTTTCGAAGACAACTAGTTGTTATCTCTTATCAGTTACGTGGAGACCGCGAAAAACCGGGACGACCCGTCAAAAATGAACATACATTACATTCTTTCAACCATTGTTAGTTGCAGTAAAATATACTTCTCTTTATTGCTACGACGTTTGACAAACTTGTGTTCTTCTAGGTCTCACCAATTCATATCTACTATCCACCCACTTTGTTTTCAAGGCATTCAAATGCACGCAAGCATCAATTACTTGACCATAGTTCGCTATTATTTATTGATATTATGAATAGCATTATTGAACATTATTGAGAATTCCGAAGGATTATTTGGGATTATTTTTGTACTAGATTGCATTATTTGAATTATACAAATCTAGTACTTTTCCCTTCGGTAGTAACTGTATTTTGGCTCTACACAATCATCAAGCGATAGAAACAGAGAGAAAGAGAGATTCATATTTTCCATCATTTATGGACAAATTAGATTTAGAAAATCGGTTCGAAGACCAGAACCAAAGGGAATTTTTACAAGAAAAAAATGCTGAGCGGAAAGGTGTTAGTGCAATTACTGCTAATAGTCCTGATACGCAATAACCACGAAAATAAAAATGACGCCAGAACATGGACCGAGTGTTGAACAACTAAGTTGACGACGGCGACGAGTAGCAGCTGTTTACCTGTCTGCCTGGAGCAATAGTATCTTAGCACTTAGATTAATGACGCACTTTTTCTCACTCGTTTCTCACTCGAAATCGAACTATCAATAATTGATTAATGGAATTTCGAATCATTTATCATCATTTTACTGTGTGAGAATGTACCAACCCATATGCTTTCTGTGCGATGAGACGAAGCCCGCCGCGGTCAACAGGTGAAATAGTGCACACAGCATTAGCGAGAGCAGTGTAGCACACTGTACTGCTCTCGTTCCAAAACACACTGCAAGGCGCATAATACGAACTGAGCATAGAAGCGTAGAGAGCCAACACACAGACACGCGCATGTTACAACGATTGAGTGTGCACAGGACTAGTAGCCATGCGTACTGGTGTGTTTTGGCTCTCTACGCTTCTATGCTCAGTTCGTATTATGCGCCTTGCAGTGTGTGTTGGAGCGAGAGCAGTACAGTGTGCTACACTGCTCTCGCTAATGCTGTGTGCACTATCTCGCCTGTTGACCGCGGCGGGCTTCGTTTCATCGCACAGCAAGCGTATGGGAAGTCAACGGTCATAAATATAAATTAGTACGAAGATCGGGTAGTGCTTGTGTTGATGTTTATTTTATCAGAACTCTTTCTATATTACGCTTCAATTTGTGCTGCTTTCAACTCTGACTTCCAGCTCGATTTTCGTAGCGTGCAAAAATTGAATTTATGATTTTTTGAATTTTCATCAATCTTCAACAAAAAAAGTCAATGATCTTTGAACGATCCCATTTTGCATTCTGGATGGTTGTGATGCCACAAACACCTTCGACACAGAACAATCTGATGTAATTAAAAAAAAAAACTTGTAATCATCTTAGCATACGTAATCATCTTTCGAGACACGGACACAAATAAATCAGAGATGCTCTGGCATATTTAATGTGCCAATTCACTTGAGATTGAAACTTTGCAGTGCTTTGCACTTGAACGATACTCTTTTTTTTCTTCTGCAACAGCGCGCTGTTGTTGTTTTTATCTTTTTCTGTGTGTGTTATTCAGAACGCATTCGACCGATGTTCACGTCGGTGTCCCAAAATGTATAGCCATCCCAGAATTTAAATTAGCTTGACGACAAAATAAGGCGAAAAAAACGATGCCAAAATTAATGAGATAGGAAGCAATATATAGGTGCGCAAGTGAACGAATTGCTTTTATCGAAGCAACGCTTGAAACTCAATGTGTCATTCGTTTAGGTAGCCTAAATCGAATGAAATGCGTCAAATACATGTGTCCTGCACCTACTTCAACATCATACAGGCTAATATATTTCATGGCGTAATACACATAAACATACACACATAAGAACGCTGCTCAACATAAATTATCGTCTCAAATCTCAGGCAACACAATGTATGTCATTTGTTTATAGCCAAAATGTTATAATGGGGAAAGACCATGCAACACTTCGGTAGTAATCCAACCGTTATTCCCATACGCACTCGGAGCAAGATATTGAAATATTTCCGTATATTTCTGTGCGCTTCTTTCGCAACTAATTAGGCTAAAAGTTCAACGCGAAAGAAATTCATTGTGCCAGTTTTTGTTTCAGTCTCAACATAAAGCTCCCATCCACTTTCCAAATATTCAATGTTCAGTATTTATCATCGTGAGTGCGTAGCACTTTCTAAGCTTCCACAATCTACCAATTGAAACGACAAATACTTGATTTTGTTGTTGCCCATAAATTTTGAGAACTGTCAATTCATCGAGGACCATTATGCGTATGTGACTACAAGAAATAAACCAGCTATGGACTAGCATAGAGTCATCGATAAATTCACATAAAATGTTCTATTCGAGTTGAACGAACAACACGAGTTTTATAGAAAAATGGATATGAAAATATGAGAAGAGAAGGCAAGGGAGAGGAAAAAATGCAATTTAATTTGAATACCTCTCACTCAAAATCACTCACACCTTACCGGAAATGTATGCGCAAATATCAAATTGGACGTAACAGTTTATATCAGAGATAGAGTAAATGTGCAAAATCCGAATTTCGTTCACATTGTGAGAACGCAGCCAGTGTTTTGCATTGTTGTCGAGAAAATGTTCGTCAATAAAAATAACGAATAACGACTTGATACAAAATCACTTGTGTGCAATATTAATAATATCTAAGGATTTTGTAAGCAGCTCAATTTGACCGAAATTCCGTTCATGATAGTTTTTGCCATGGGGCAGACGGGTGTACACTATTCATTCTACACCTATAGACAAAATTTGGTCGCAATGTGTAACAAACATATATCTACCACAATATTTAAGTTAACGTATAACGTGTTTGTTTAACCAAGTGGATGAGAAAAAAGT